CCAGCATCGTCTATTGAAAAGGCTAGGGTTTCTTGTTTTATTATTATTATTATTATTATTATTATTATTATTATTATTTTATTAAATTTTCCCCTTGTCTGTTTTTGGCTGTTTTATTGAGAACTGCTTGACTGGTTTATTTCTGGTATCTCTACTCTGTTCCATTGGTCAGTGTGTGTGTGCTTATACCAATAGCATGCTGTTTTTGTTAACTAGACTTTTCTAGTATACTTTGGAGTCAGGTGTGGTGATTGCTGTGTGACATTATTCCTGGGGAGACATAAACAAACCTCTACTCACCCCAGATATGGAACCAACAGACCAAAGTAAGGATACTACCAAAGTTCAACTGGTGAAACAATGAGTTTTATTGGGACTCCTTACAGAAGCAGAAATGACTCAGAGACAACTACGTGCATCTCCAAAAGCCCGCCCCAGCATGGGTGATGACTCCTGAAAACTGGGAACCTGGAGCTCACTGCACACTTGCAGGAGGCTGGACAGGTTGGAGAGTGTCTCTTTCAGGCAACTCAGCTTGTCTGAGAGTGTCTGTTTATATATGTTTATGTCTGCCTGGGGAGGGAGGGGCCTAGTGTATTGGGTCAGTTTCAGTGACTTACCAAGACTGCAGGCTTACTTCCTGAGCTTCTCTGCAGGATAGAATAGTTCTCCTCCCCTAGAACACCTTGTTGTTTCACCTCCCTTTCAACATCCTGTGTCTTAATAAGTTTTCATCCAAGATGGAAGGTTTTCTCTTGGAGGAAATTGGTACACAATCATGATACCTCCATGATACCTTTATTTCTTTTGTTCGCCTCCCCATCCCTTTTGCATATGGTTGACAACACATGGGACTGCCTGAGAGAGCCTGGATCCGGCCTCCATGTGGTGTACGAAGCCTGAGTGTACCTGACTGGAACCTGAATTGGGCTTCTGTGGGTACCCCTGAATAGCTGATCAGAAGCCATCAGTTCCATCCAAAATAAACCTGAAAGAACCTGAACCCTGTACCAACCAGATTTCCATGACCAATAAAGAAGGGATCTAGGCACCCAGATAATACAAACAGAAACATACTTCAACTTAATTCTCATATCAGAATCATAAACAACAAAAGAAATTCGCATGCCAAAACCGCAACAAAAGGCTAATAAAATGGAAAGCCAAAGCACTATATTACCACCAAAGCCCACCAATCCTGTAGAAGAGTTCTACAAGGAGAACCCCCTAGAGATTACCCAGGACACTGAATTTAAAAGAACAATCACTGGGCCGGGTGTGGTGGCACACGCCTGTAGTCCCAGCACTTGGGAGGCAGAGGCAGGCGGATCTCTGGGCATTCAAGTCCAGCCTGGTCTACATAGTGAGTTCCAGGAGAGCTGGGGCTACAGGGAGACCCTGTCTCAAAAAGACCAAAAAATAATAATAAGAAGAAGAAGAAGAACAATCATAAACATGATCAAGGAATTTGATGAATTTAAAGAACACACGAA